ACAACAGGGATTCTTGAGTCCAGCGGTGTGGCTTTTACTACATTTCAGTTTACTGGAGCGGCCTTCACTTGGTGGGAGGTGTATGAGCGGCGTAGGCCAGCAGGTGCAGCACCTTTGACATGGCAGGAGTTCTCCACTCTCTTCTTGGAGAAGTGGATACCGCAGTCTCAGAGGGAGGAGCTGCGTAGGCAGTTTGAGTGGCTTCGCCAGGGAGATATGAGTGTGTCTCAGTATGAGGCAAGATTTTTTGAGTTGGCTCGTTATGCCTCATGGATAGTTCCGACTGATCGGGAGAGGATTAAGAGGTTCGTGGATGGTCTTAATTATTACCTTCGTATTCTGATGAATTGAGAGAGAGTTCTGGGTATTTCCTTTGAGGATGCAGTTAATATTGCTCGTGATATTGAGACGGCTCGTCGTCAGGAGAGATAGGAGAGGGAGGCCAAGAGGCCTCGAGGTTCTGGTAGTTTCAGTGGCGCTCCTTCGAGGGGCCAGTTCCAGAAGGGTCAGGGTCGTTCTTTTAGGCCCGCTCAGTCAACTCGACCTGAATACCGAGGTGGATTTTTTGGTCGTGGTTATCAGGGTTATCAGCAGAGTCAGCCATCTCTCAGCGCTCTTCTAGCACAGAGTTCGTCTCGTGCTCCATCTGCTCAGGGTTCTTCCAGGCCGAGTGTATCAGCTAGCTACTTTGGCACGAGAGGTTTCCTTCAGTCCCAGTTCCTAGCACCCGGGAGTTTCTATGAGTGTGGAGAGTTCGGGCATATGCGGAGGGAGTGTCCTCGCCGTGCTGCTAGCTCATTTCAATAGAGGGGTCAGCCCTCGACTTCTGCTCCAATTATTTCACCACCCGCCCAGCCAGCTAGGGGTGGAGGTCAGGCAGCCAGGGGTCGCCCTAGAGGGGGGGGGGTTGATCAGGGGGCAGTCAGGCCCGTTTCTATGCACTCCCAGGCAGACCCGATGCCATTGCTTTGGATGCTGTCATTACATATATTGTTTCAGTCTTCCACAGAGATGCCTTTGCATTATTTGATCCCGGTTCCACCTTTTCTTATGTGTCATCATACTTTGCTCATTATTTGGGTATGCCCCGTGAGTTTCTTGCCTTACCTATTCATGTATCTACCCCGGTGGACGATACTTTTGTTGTAGATCGTGTGTACCGGTCATGTGTGGTGACTATTAGGGGTCTGGAGACCCGAGTAGATCTATTGCTATTGAGCATGGTGGATTTTGATGTCATTTTGGGCATGGATTGGCTATCCCC